CTCTCGCTCATGATCTCACGCTCTAACCAACTGAGCTAATAGGCCTTTCGTTATTGCTTTGTCATAGGCCTACTAACAACAAAGAAATAACCGCTTATTCTTTCAAATAACCTTACAGAGAAACATAACAATTATTGAAAAGTAATGTTGAAATAAAACACCAACAGGAAGGAATCTAAACCCAAAATCATATACTACACATGCTCCCTTCCCTTGGATATATATATATATATATAGGATAAGCTCTTTTCCATGTAAAAACAAATCTCTCTCTCCTTTTCTCCACCGGTTTTGGCAAGAATCATTTCATAATAAAGAACCCTTCCCCCCTCCTCTGAGTCCTCTCTCGGTGTTAGAGCGAGAGGGCTTTCCCCCGTCCCATAGAGAAACCCCTGGTTCCATCTGGCATCCGTGGCCCTGGCGGTGGTGGTTGCGGCTGCTGCCCTCCATTGTTTGTAGGCTGCGTCCCCACGTGGTGGGAGTGATTCCCACGTCCGTTGTGGTTGTGGCTGTGGGGTTGACCACCTCGCCCACGCCCCTTCCCCCTGCCTCGGTTACGCCCTTTTCTCTGCCCACCTCCCTTGTCGTTCCCGTGCTCCTCCTCAGCCTGTTTAGCATTATATTCCGTTCTCAAGTTAGACCCCAAATGGGTAAATTATATTATTATCTGTCCAAAGCAGATCGAAAAATGTGGTACTTACGACCATACGCTCTGGACCATCCCACTCTCCTAAACACTCTTCAGTTTGTTTCCCGTTTGGCTGCTGCTGCTCAGATGTAGCAGCGGTAGTAGCAGCAGCATCTTCCTCATGCTGTGCTTCCACTTCATGTCCTTTCCTACCTCGTCCTTGACCTTGTTTTTGCTCCTTCGTCTGTATTTACCACATAGAACGTGGAGAGAGTTTCATAAATCATATCTGAAGAAAACCATACCAAGGACGGATTTTAGTCTAAAACGCATACCTGATGTTTTAGCATCAACCGGACTCTAAGACCGCTTCTCCAGTTTCCTTCTTCGTTTAATTCGGCTACCTGCCAAACACCACACCTTCACTTATCAAATCAGCACAAAGAGACAAAACCCATAGCATTGAGTTAAAGTTACGAGAATCTTACTGCTTTCTCAGCCAACTCAACTGTCTCGTACTCGACATATGCATGTACCTACATGGACACATAATAAGAAATCTCAAGCTTTCATAACAGAGCAACAGCTATTTTCAATCCCAAAAATAGAAATCCAGCAAGAAAAGAGGCGATGTGAATCGTCTAGTTCGTTACCTTGTTAGTGTAAAGAGCACCATCACTTTTGCCTGATCTTGAAGCCGATGGAGCACCACTACCCGAATTTTGAGGCTGGCAGGTGCGGATGTTCTTCACACTGTAAAATAACTGAATAATTTCAGAGACTCCAAAAAATACAGCTGTTATTGTTAACCTATATATCTGATAAAGTAATTTTCTAGGTTCATAAGAACAACAAGCGGTACCTTCCAACTGCTGAGAAAATCTTCATCAGATTCTGATAGCAATGATCTTCAGGTAGATTTTCAGCAACAACTATGCGGGACTGTATACAGTCCAGTTTACAGATTAAGCCAAAAGTTCTAACAAGAACTATAGAGGAAGACTAGATATATAAATCTGTAATATAACTCAAGTGAACTTAACCATAACTTGAAAGAACTACCTGGAGTTCTTCTATTGCAGAGTCAGTAATTGGATGTTGACGTCTAACTTTCTTTCCATCTTCACTAACGTCCTGTTAGTCGGCACAAAAATGTTAGAATCTTTTCTATATGCTTTAAGACGGATTTAAGGTTGGAGAAATAGTACACAAAGAAAAATAGCAGAAGGAACTAACAAGTTTTGAGGAGCTCCGCAACACAGCAGCAAGCTGTGAATTACTGCTAATGACGGCTTTAACCTTCTTGAAAGATGCAACCACATGTATTGGCACTAAAATACAATAAAACGTTCAGCCAAAAAGTATAATATTTACAAGAGAGTTCAAGAAAGAACCTCGTGGATTTACAGATCAGAATCATCAGATTCGAATTACTTAGTTGCAACAAAAATAACATTCTGAACAACAAACTAAAGATATTCACTTCTTTTGTTACCAACTCAGCAAACACAGATATTTACGATGATCCTAACAGAAACAGACCACGCGACAACTTCAAAAAAAAAGTTTAAATATGAATGATTTATTGACAAATCTCATACCATTTCCTTCAGTGTCCTTGTTGATGTATCTGATTAGATGATCTGTGGTAGCTAAATTCAAGTCGCTGAAATAGTATTCAACCTGGCAGCAAACAGTATAGTAGAAAAACTTAGAAGCAAAACCTAATAGATCCATGTAGCAAATACGAAACGAATTAGCTAACCGAATGCAAAAGAGTTTCCTTCTGCATTAATCAGAAATGAAATGGGAAAAGCACGATTACAAATTCATCACATAGTCAAACCACACCGATTGATCAGCGATCTGTTCTTCATCATCAATGGTTCCCCAAGGATATATCTCAGATATTTCCCACATTCCTTCGGCAGGCATCAAGCCAAACGGCTTTGCTCTTAAATAGTTTTTCTTCACCGTCCAACACCCAAATCACTAAATAACTGGAAAGCTAAGATCCTACTCTATCTTTGGCAAAAACTCATTACATCAAGCAGATATGGCACATCATTTCCTTGGCTACTTCCTAAGCTAGTCATAAACCCATGAAGAAGCGGTAGCTCTAAGCTAGTTATAAACCCATGAAGAAGGCAACCAAACAAGTGAGGGATATCAACATATTGAAGCTCACCTGGTTCACAATCTTCTGGACAGTATCCTCGGGTAAACCACTCCTGGGATCAATAGAAACAGTAGCGCCGCTTTCGCCATGATCCTTCTTAGGATCCTTCCTATGGTCTTTCCGGCTATCGTGATCGCCTTTCTTTGCAACCACATCCGAATCCTGATCCCCACCTCCACCGGGCTGCTGATAATCGTGATGGCCGTGATTCCGCACCGGGACAAACTGTTGACTAACATGACGACTGTGATGATGAGGGATGTGATGGGGAAGGTGATGAGGATGGTGATTCTGCACGGGGACCAAGCGAGGCGGAGGCGGTATTGTTACCGGCCCCTGAATCGGAACAGGAAACCGTGGCGGATGGTGGTACATATGAAGCACGCCCGGCGGCGAAGGAGCCGGGATCATCATCCTCGGCTGCGGCGGAGGCGGCGGCGAGGGAGTAACTCGACCAGGCACGAATTCGGGAGCTTCGGCGTTGAGCCGTATAGAGGAAAGATTCCTGGAGAAAGTCGGATCTGAGGAAGAAGCAGCAGCAGAAGAGTGGGAGTGATGCAGATCATCGAACTGAGCAGAGGAATCCACGGATTGCTGATCAGCCATGAGTAGTAGTGAATCGAAGCTTGATTTCACAGAAGCAAATTCAGGGGGATCCGGGGAGCAAAATTAGGGTTCCTGGGGATCTCGGGACAAGGGTTTAGGGATTTGGGGGAGCAGAGAGAGAGAGAGCGGATCACCCGGACAAGGGGAAAGGGAAAGA